ATGCCATGAATCACAGCCATTAGAAATACCCCCACCAAAGCGTCCGAGACACACATCTTAGGGTGATAATTTAGATAGTGATGAAATAAGTGACAGTGAGATTATTCTGTAAAGATTTAAGAATATGTAGTGCATGGACTTTTATGTTGCGGGTAATTTTGAACATAGCTTAATATATTTTAGAACCCACGAAGCTTCTGTAAAGATTAGCATATTTGGTGCAGGGACTTACATATACTCAAAGGCGTGACCGCTTTCACAGATGTCAGTGGGTCAAAATACTATCGTACCATGGTCTCGTAGAACTTTTTGAATATTTTTGGAATCGTGAACTGGTTTCGGAGATTATGGCCGGAATATGTACTATTTTGTAAATGCCATGAAACTAAATGCAGCCAGAAATGATTAAACCCCATCATGTGCCACATCAAATGACATGAGAATTAAAAAGTAGAAGGGTCTGAGCCTAGGGGCACGAACGGAAGCTTGACGTAGGACCGCTAGTGGACGGAACAAATGTGAACATTTAGTTCTTTTAATTGATCAATCATCAATTATCTTTACTCTTTCCGTTTTTTATTTGTAAGCGTATCAAATTTGTAGTAATTATTTCAAAGAGAAAGTTGATGAAGAGCATCCAATGGACTGTCAATTTGAGTATTTTCGATTCATCTACCCGACTTTAAAAGGTGTATTTTGAATTTTTTGTTATATAAGAATGTTTAAGTTTTGTGCATTTTGGTATTAAAGAGTATTCAATTAACCCCTCAGGATTCCCTTCCGATTTAAGATAGCTAGCTGCTTGCGGGAACTGATGACCTTGACAAATGTCCAAATAATACTCTTAACAAATTTATAATGGTAAGGACTGTTTTGTAGTGATGGTTGAGGAATGCTGAGCTGAGCACGACGAGCTACTGATTCCGATCCTAGCCTAGCGGTGGGACTTCTTCCTCATTCTCTATGGTTGCTCATATGAGCTCTGCAGCTCGCTGCTTGCAGGCAGCCTTTCGTTGGTTGTTGAAAGCACTCCTGCTGCTACTAATGCTACTGCTGCTGCTGGACTGGACACCACCACTTACGGTGATTGAATAAGCACCGTTCAGTGGGACTACATCGAATTCGATGTTGGAACAGTTGGACATATGGTATTTTTCAATAGTGGCCTATTGAAAATTAACTAAGTGTTCATTTTAGCAGATTGGTAGATAAATTTCCAATCGTTTGGCTTGTTTAGAATTAAAATCTATCTGCCATTGGTCGAAACCTGACCTCTTTTCGTAATGCTGTGCATTTTGGTTTTTTGAAATTGCGTGGATTCTATAGATCCTGTGGAGATCTATCTAGCCCTGATGTATGTGTTGGTAGAGGGAAAAATGTAAACTTTGCGGGAGACGATGTCTTAACACTCGAAAGCAATTTTGTGGAATATGAAGTAAAACAAATCCTAGCTAGTTCTGCATGATGATTTTGTTTGATTTTATTTATTTGTAAGTCGCCGGGAAATACCAGCTGGCGATTTGTTTTTTATGATAACTTCTTACCTGAAAACAGGCAAAAAGTCACAAACTGGCTGCTTTTTCATGGTATACAGTGTGATAATTCAATAATCAATAAATTATCTCAACATTTAGTGGCAAACCATTAATAAATTTTGTTAACATACAAAAAACTCTATAATCCACATTAAATTTCATATGTAAGCGCCGATTGAAACAATCTTTTCGACGTCACTACAAGGGTGATTGAATCGTGCGGAATGAAAGCCGAGGAAAAACTAATTGCACCAATATATTCAGGGCTACAATTCCACACCTTCTATAGACAGGTTGAGCCTTGATAACTAGCTGCTTGCGGGAACTGATGACCTTGACCAATGTCCAAATAATACTCTTTAACAAATTTTTGGTGGCCCTGAAAAGGACCGTTTTGTAGTGATGGTTGAGTAATTCTGAGCTGGGTGTTCAACACGGATGAGGCTGTCGAGCTGAGCTGAGGGTGACACGCATGGATAGATGACCGACCCACAGCGACTCACGAAGAGCTACTGATTCCGATCCATACCACAGTGGTGCAGCTTCTTCCTCCTTTGATGGTTGCTTATGTGGGCTCTGCAGCTCGCTGCTTGCAGGCAGCCTTTCGTTGTTACTGGAGAACAATTTTCAACGCCACACACCGAAAGCACTGCTACTGCTGCTACTAATTTCGACGATCGAACACCACCACACAGTGGTGTGGTCGTTGAGAGCGTGTGGTTCTGAGTATGGCGATGAGTGTGCAAAATATTACGCAATTCCATCCTCCCTATTCGCACTCGCATTCGATCGATTGGTGTTACAATTATTGAAATTGAACCAGGGGCAACTGAGTTATTAACGTTCAAAATCTTTCTTAATTTGTTACATGTTCCCATGTTCCATTTTCGGTTTTCACAAAGTGTACCCCCATATAGAAATCAAAGACGTAGTCCTACGTCAAAAACCAGTTCAATGGTAGTAATAATCAGGCAATTTGCTAAGAGCCCCCGGCCCCAGTTTCTATTTAAGGGCCAAAATCCATCATGCGTTACATTAAATCACATGAGAATTCATCTATCTTTTCTCATTGTATGAGCAATTTAGTCGGAAGATCTATTAAGTACACATCAAACAATTAATTTTGATATCACATCAAAGTGGATGCACTTTAATCGTGGCAAAAATATGGTATAATATTACTTGCCAAAAAGGGTTAAATTATCATTAATACAGTGCATGAACTGACATTACGCTGCTTTGACTGCATTTGTTTATTTTTGTGACCATAAAAATTACATGAGATTTTCGATATGATTGACAGTACATCCTCTTGGATGCAATAATAAAATTTATTTTTTGCTGTGTAGTAAAAAAGGGTCATCTGTATCTGCATGTACCGGTTCATTTTTGAAAATATTTATGCCTATTTTATTTATTTTAGAAATCACCCAGCTTTGCCATTTTCGATTAAAATATTTGTAAGTCGTATGAACCTCAATTCGCATGAGTTGTTCCAAAAGAATTAGAGGTTATTCTATAAAGACTTTACAATAATTGGTGCATAGACTTTCATGTGTCTGAGACATTTTGTAAATAGTCAGACCTCGGACCTTAAGGTGAAAGGAAACGTCATTAATTTTCAAAAATTCAAAAGCAGTTTTTTCGTTGAAACCCAAAATTACGTTCATGAAAATGTGTTCATTGCATTCTACTTACCGGAACACAGTGAACACATTTTCATTGACAAAATATCGGGTTTAAACAAATAAAACTGATTCAGAATTTACAAAAAGGAATGACGTACTTTTTCCCCTTAAAGACCTTTAAGTCCCAGAATTCTGAACTTTCCTGTAGTCAAGGATTAGATGATGTCATTCTCACTGGCTTTTAAGTAACCACTATCTAGGCATTATTATCTGTGCCTATGCAATGCACCACAACTGCAGAGTAGATGTTCCGAGGTTTCGCATTTTCCAATCCTTGAGTACCGTTTACAGTGTATGATTAACGCTGGATTTTACCAAAAGAGTGAAATTCCAAGCAACGTTGAGGAAGTCTCAGCATCAGTGTATGGCCCATTATTTCGACTGCTAGACGTTGCCTAAAGATATGCAATCTGTTTAAATTTCTCCTCGTGCCATGCAATGAATGGATGAAGTGGTATAAAATAAGCTATGGAAACTGTTATACATTACGGTGCTTGTATGGAAGATTTTCCAGACCTCAAATTTCAACTAAAAGGAAATTTTTAAATCTGACAATGTTACTTTGAGCTGTCAAGAAGACGGGTCAGAAAAGAAAGAAGAATAAGAGGAAGAAGATGTTGTGACGAATGTTAATATTCCTTAATGGGCATGAGCTTGAAAAGTTAACAGCGAAATTCAATTCTTTCCTTAATTCTGCATTAGACTGACAGCCTTTGAAGGTTTCTCTAACTCTACGAATGGTATAAATATCGTGATATTGCAATTAGACAGCGCCGGTGGGGTAGTGGCGTGACTGCTTTCTCGCCCCAATGGGTCTGGCTTCAATCCCAGCCGAGGTCGGTGTGATTTTTCTGAGGCATAAAAATCTCTGATCACGTCTTCCTTCGGAAGAGAAGTACATGGTCCCGTCCCATGTGTGTGTTGAATGGGTGTGATATCCGACGCAGGTGTGGAGCTGCCTTCCTGGATTGAACACAATCGATTGCCGTCAATTGATGTTCGTCGGTTATTGGCACTAGATTGCGGAACAGAGACTGTTCGGATACCAAACCAAAATTTTTGTAGCTCAAACTGTAATATTAAGATTTTATTAGAAAATTAAATCCGATAAATTTGATTCCGAACTTACAAGAAGTGGTCTAATTCTACTTTTGTGCGCTACACAACCGTTTCCTCGTTCTAGCTCTTCCTTCTATTTACCACGAATTCTCCCGTTCAAATCGTCGCTAGCTTTCCTATACGCCTGTTCCACTAATTAATTATTTTGTGTTAATGTTTTTCTTTTCCAGGTACCTGCTAGAACTACTTACAATTATAATTTCCTTCTATGTTCGGGACGCCGAAGGGGAACCAGATGCACAATATAGACGAACTTTATGATCCGAAATATTCCTTGAATTCCTGTATAATTTCACTTTATCTGCTAACAATTTCTATCTGCTAACAATGTCCATTTATAAATTGTGTTTGGTTTGTTTTGGTTTTGTTTTTCTCTTCCCTTTCTTCACTTCTGACAACGGTACGAAACGGCAATAACATTAGGTACGCCAACCGCAGCTACGCACACCGTTGTGTTGGGTTTGCTGCCCTGCGGTGTTGACAGAGACCGACGTTAAATAAAGGAATGAAGAACTAAGAACTAAGCAATATAATGCAATAGATCAAATTACTGGTCGCAGTGGATTTATGTCCCGACAGGGAAAAAATGCATTTCTTTCATTTACCTACATTACTCCATCTCATACTTTATTTTATAAATAATTTATTTCATTCCATCAATTTTAAAATGCATCAACATAATATTGACGTATTCCATGGATCTTACTGTACTTTATCTAACATCTAATAGGGTAAGTGAAATAGTTTTTGACCCAAGAGGTTCCCTAATTGGCCCTATCTTATTTTTAATTTTCTTTTTCAATGTTTACCAAATTTATTTCCAAGCAGGGTTAGCATAGATCTACACAAATAAAGCTATGAAAATTTCTTTCAAATTTGAGTCAGACCCTTGGGCCAAAATCTACAGCACTACTGCCATAACTGGCTCACTTACCCTATCGAAGATATCTTTATTCTGTCCTTAAACCTAATACTTTCACGGTAACTACTTCCTTCGCTCAAACCCAACCCTCTTTTTATTTCTAACCCTTCACATTATCGAACGGACGCAGCACTCCCGGCGGTCCCCCGAAACTTCCGGTAAACGTACCACTGCTCGCCACCGCTACAGAAGTAGGCCTGTTGGAACTGCCCGTCGTGGAGCTGAATCCGACGCCCGGACCCGACGGGGCCAGAATGGTTCCATCTGGCTTCACGTGGCTACCCGGCAGTTTCTGGTTACCTAAAAGGCCCGGAGCTCCACCGAAACTTCCGGTGAACTTGTTTACCACGTACTGACCTGGTCGTTGCGTTACGGGAGGTTGTGCTTGCGGTTGCTGTTGGTGATGGTGGTTGTGCTGTTGGGTAAATGTACCGGTGTAGATTCCTCCAGGGGCTTGGGTAGGTTGTTGTGGCGGGTAGCTGGGTTGCTGTTGTGGTTGGAATGGACTAGGAGGTCTGATGATGTTCGGTGCCTGGGTTTGAGGGTATTGAGGATGAGGTTGTGGCTGAGGCTGAGGTTGAGGTTGTTGCTGAGGCTGAGGTTGAGGTTGAAATGAGACGGGTCTCTGAGGGGTTGAAGGGATTGTGGGAGATGTGGGTTTGTAGGCGGTTCCGAGATTTTGTTGGTTGCCAAGGAAGCCGGGAGCTCCACCGAAGCTACCGGTGAATTTGTTTGGCGCTTTGGTAGGAGTGGGTGCCTGAGGAATGGTCGGTACGAAGTGGGTTGTTGGAGGAGTCGGATATGTTTGTGGAACAGCTGGTTTGACGGGCTGAGGAGTTGAGGTGTATGCCGTGCCGAGGAATTGTTGGCTCCCAAGGAGACCCGGGGCACCACCGAAGGATCCGGTGAACTTCTGCACGGGGGCTTTGGTGGGTTTGAATTGAGGTTGCTGAGGAGGCTGTTGAGATTGAGTAGTTGGGTAGTACTGTGATTGGTGAGGATTTTGATGTTGCTGTGGAACTTGAGGTTTGGGCTGCTGGGGTGCCTGAGATTGTTGAGGAGTTAGTGGTGGTATGAATAAAGGAACCTGGAGAGGAACTTGTGAGTTTTGAGGAGCCCCTTGATTGAAGTTTACTGGAGGTTTGTCACGAGGCAGCGTAAGACCTTTGTCCAAGGAAGGTGAGCCGAACGGATCATTTACAAAAATATTCGATCGTTCGGTACCGACATCTACCTTGTAGCCGGGCAGCTGCTCTCCAGGGAATAGTGGAGGTATTAGTCCATTCAACGGTTTCTGGGCAAAATTGATCTGTCCATCACCGATGGTAGGGATCTTGGCATTTGGAACAAACTGAAATGCTGTTGTTGGAGCTCTGATTGTTGCGGTCGATTGTGGATATAATGGGGACTGACTTTGCTGAGGCAAGAAATTCACTGATGCAACCGGTGGAAGTACTACAGGTTCGATAATCCCCGAAGCATAACTGGGAAGCTTGAAGTTGAAGTGTCCGTGTTGATTGCTATTGGGTCCATGCAGGTTATCCCTGTTGGCTTCCGGTACAAATCCAACCGATTCCAATCCGGTCGTTCCGAGATCCGTGTAAGGTGTTACCGGATTTCCATAGCTATCCATGGCCACGGTGGTTGAAGGAGTGACTGGAAACTTCAAATCCCCATTGGTCAGTTCATTATTAAACCCTCCAGGAATGGCATTCAATGAGACATCAGCTGAGAATCCTAGATTTCTGGCACCTCTCGACCCGGATGTGACCTGAGGCTCAATCTGCTTGATCGATAGCTTGATGATTTTGCTATCACTCTCAGGGAGCTCGTTTGCTTCGAACTTGTCGATCGATCGGGCAGAGATCCCTGCAAGCGAAAGGGAATGATAATTGATGAGATTGCACAAACTCATAACTCGGCTCAATCGAAGCGTAGAATCATCAATCGATAAATTACCTGCATTTCCACCGCTACCGCCACGATCTGCCTTCACCGGTGAATTGGTGTCTCCCTCAGCACTATCCGACGATTCAACAGCTGTAATAAAATTAAATGACTCGAGTTAGTTCCAAACATTCGATGCTAATGGAAGTTAATCATCAACAAGTTATAAAAAGTACCAATCAAACAAGTGAAGCATGCATACGAAGATACGATACGCCCGTATTAACTAAGATGTCAACAATCGTTTGAACGGTAGTAAAATCTGTAATAGGTATCCATAAACGAATGCTTTTTATGACTTGCAAGATGGAACTTGATCATCCAACCGGTCTAGGATCGACTTTGAACTTGAACTTGTGGGTGGCGTTGCGTGGAAGCGAAACGAAAGACAATCACCATCGACAGCAATCGACTCAGAGATGAAGTCATCGAGCTCGAAGGCTTTGCTGGCTGCAAGAAGGTTGCACCGGTATTGCATGATTAAAATTCCATATTCTGTCTCAATCAAATTCGTGAAAGCTAGACGTGTTATTTAGAACAATCCCCTCCTTTAGGGGTATCGTAGCGGAAACACTTTGGATTCGCATATGACTAAACAATGGCTGACAAAACGTGTGCGTCATCAGCAAAGCCAGCCTCAGGCTAGCGGATCACCTTTTAAACTGATTTATTCGTTCGGCAATCAGTCCCGTATTTATATACAATGGAGCTTGATTATCATTGAAAACGACGCCGTCTGATGCCTTCAAAGCACCAGAGTGGAATTGTATTAAGCGTTCAAGAGGATTGTTTGGTGTTGATTAGATAAATCGGGATATATGCATATGGTACGTACGAGGACAGAGTTCAACATCGACTCAAGGAAAGTTCGTTATATTTTAAGGGTACAATTAAAACAGGATTAAATTGTTAACAAAATTAATTGAATACTGCTCTATGCACACTTATTCGGTATTTATATGTCCAATCTCCAAACGTTACCTCAAAATTGTACAGAAGGTAATTCACACAATATTGAAAGCTAAAAATTATTTTTTCTAGTAATTTAACCTTTTCAATTTTTTTCTAGTTCAATCGAAACAATTGATTTTTTTTTTCATTCTAGTCATTGTCATTGTCATTGTAATTGTCAAATGGTATGTATCAGAGTTTCGAAATTTATGTGAAAAACAGGAGATTTGACAGTTGCGGTAAATTTTGCTTTGCCGATTTCACGGCAATTGAATGTTTTGCTTGGATGTTTGCCATTGGTTTCAATTTAATAATAAAAATTCAATGAATTATGTAGAAAAAAAATTGGAAAAAGGTTGCCGACTGGGACTCGAACCACGAACGTTGTGATTAACAGACCTGTGCTTTCTCCACTGCTCTCTCCATGCTTCTGAATATGGATAGGCTAAAAGCAAACAAGAAGCGCTCATTTCCTCTCACACTTGACTTCGTATGCTTTTTCTGCTGGAGAGATTCGAGGCAAGTGTGTGCGTCGTTCTGCCATGTTATACATAAAAATCAAGGCAAATGCTTGCTTGTGTAGATGAAAGCACAGACAGAACACGAAATAAAAAAGGCAAAAAACCATTACATTCGCTGCGATGTTCATGAACAGAGGATGATAGGAAATGGAACTAACATTCATTGTAATAAATTTTTGGTTTGCGTGCACCCAACCGGGGAAGTAAGATTCGTTTACAATTATGTGTGATTCATCATCAGAGGATGTTAGAGGAGACCGCATGAACCGAGGATGCGATATGCCTAGCTGCGGTCCAATGCAAGAAAATTGGAGACCGAAAAAAGTGGAGTGTATTAGTGAGTGAAATTAATAATGTCGAAAAAAAAAATAGGAAAAAGCTTGCCGACTGGACTCGAAACCACGAACGTTGCGATTATTAGACCTGTGCTTTCTCCACTGCTCTCTCCATCCTTTGGAATATGGCTGGCTAAAAGCAAACAAGAAGCACTCATTTCCTCGCCTACTCGACTTCGTTTGCTTTTACTGCTGGAAAGAATCGAGGCAACTGTGTGCGTCTTTCTACCATGTAATACATAACAATCAAGGCAAATGCTTGCTTGTGTAGGTTAAAGCATATACAGAGCACGGAATAAAAAAAGATTAAAAATCATTGCATAGTCTGCAAAAGCAACTTCTAACATTCGCTGCAATGTTCATGAACAGAGGATGATAGTAAATGGCACTAACATTAAATGTAATAAATTTTTGGTTTGCGTGTGTGGAATTATTGGCTGTATTGTGTGGTATTTGACACTTTTACAGCCTTTCCACAGGAATTTCATGTGCTCACGTAGTGAGAAAGTTCTGTACTAATATCGCCACCATCCGAAAGGACATGGTCATCTGAACAACTTTGCTCGAGACAGTAACCTTCTATATAGCAAAGATTTCGGGATACAGCTTATATAGGAAGTTCAAGTACACACTAGCGCCGTGTAGTGAGCAAATTCTGAACTACTGTCCACCAACCATAAGGCCTTGATCCACTGAATAACTTTTCCCAGTACACAAACCTTCTATATTTCCAGAATCACGGGATATTCCATGTTGGAGCCAATGAAACCAAATCCCATATGCTACGTGGACTTGATACATGCGATTTGCTTTTATGCTTATAGCTGTACATGGGTACGCATACAAGTGCTGCATAGTGAGCTAGTTCAGATCTTAATTGTCTAGCATTCTGTGTGTCCATTATCACCTAAACAAGTTTCTCGAAAATAGGCTTGTATAATGATTTATTATATGAGTCCATGATGCTCCGTGGGACCCTATCACATCAAGTGAGATAAGAAGTTATACTAACAAAATATGTTTAATGTTCGAAATTGTCCTGGAGATTAGTTCTTAACGTTCTACACACAGTTCGAAAAAGTAGTGTAAATCTGTTCAATATGGTGCACATAAATGGAGTTTCGTGGAGCCCCATAATATCATGCTGGATATGTAGTGATAATGACAAAATATGTTAAGGTCTCCCAGTTATCCTAACGATTGGGTCCTTGGGATGTTCTACAGGCTCTACCAAGTCTTGTATGATGTCCATATTAATCATACGAATCCATAAAACTCCGTGGGCCCATCAAGTGAGATATGAAGATGTATTAACAAAATATGTTTCATTCACTAAAATGTCTTGGAGTTCAGATCGTGACATTCTACAGATTCCACGAGAAATTGTACGATATCCCGACTAATTTGGAGAAACCCAAATTCTTCCACAATATTATCCCACAAGGGTGAACACGAAAAAATCCGCACACATTAAAAACGCTGCCAATAAGGCATTTTATGCATCAAATCTTTAAAAATTTCACTGGATCAAGCTAAAAGTGTATAGAATCACAGTAGGCATTGGTTGTCAGGATAAGTTCATATTAGGTCAGCTAATATATCAAAAATCACCATTTAACTATATATCATATCGTTGCAGAAATAAATCATGGCATACTTTGATCAAATTTACACAGCAATCAATTTTACGGATGATCCGGATCTACCGACGGACCATCTGGTGTCCACTGGGAGAAAATGACCAGCAAATTTGTAAAAAATCACCTTTTTGTAGAAAAAAAATCAATGCCTACTTTGAACAAAATTATAAAGCAATCAATTTGGCGGATGACCACTCGGAGCAAATGGCCAGCTAATATATCAAAAATCACCATTTTACTTAATTTCATATAGATGCAGAGAATGATCATTATACCTTGACAAAAAAATATCACAGATTAAGGTTGATCCGGGTCACCGGATGGCCTTCGGGTGGATACTCGCTATTTTGAACCAGGTCACAGTGGTTTAAAAGTCCATTTTGACGCTCGTAATTAATATCACTGCGGAGAGTGGATTTAGAGTAACGACGCCTTCAGCAAAGTTGATGGCTATGTATTTTGCGCCAACTGTTTCTCAGTGTAACTAACGTGTGCCGCAGCTGTGCCGACAATGACGAAAGTGCCAGTCATCGGATTGACATTGTTTGCTTGTGAGTAATAGCATGTTTGGCAACCCGGTTAATTTGACAGCTAAAATGTTTTGTTTTGAAGCAACTTCACAGCTAGCAGTGGAATCTTAACTAGAAACAAGATAAACATCAAAGCAATCCTGGCATCACTTGCATTTGTAACTGCTTGCGAGTGACTTCGCCAATGCACCGACGAGCGGGTTCATGAGTGATTTTTAAACGATTTTAATACTCCTCCCTAATTGAAGCAAATTGAAAACCATTTGCAAACATTGCAGATTGGAACCGCTTATGACAGTTCGATTGGAATCATAACGCCGGTGCCGGTGGTGTAGTGGTAAGCGTGACTGCTTTCTAACACCTCGATGGGTCTGGGTTCAATCCCAGCCGAGGTCGGTGGGATTTTTCTGAGGCATAAAATTCTCTGGTCACGTCTTCCTTCGGAAGGGAAGTGAAGCCGTTAGTCCCGGCCCATGTGTGTTGAATGGGTGCGATATCCTACGCAGGTGTGGAAGCTGCCTTCCTGCACATTCGATTGCCGTCAATGGATGGCAATCGATGTCCGTCGGTGATTGGCACTAGATTGCGGAACAGAGACCGACATTAAATAAAGGAAAGAAGAAGAAGAAGGAATCATAACAGTGTCTCCGCTGGTCTCTTATTCCAGTGTTTCTAATCCAAACCAAGAGGCCATGATCCAGAGGCACTCCAGTAAGACATGCTGGTACCGGACAAACTGGCCCGACCGAAAGATCAAGTTCCTCCGACCGCTCAACAAAGACAACATCGAAACGCATCTATTGGCATTCAATATTTACAGCGCTGCAGCAAGCTTCTGCTAATGTTTCAATCGCTGTTACGGACTCACACTATCGATTTTAACCATCGGAAGTTGAATTTTGGAAAGCAAGATTGTTGGAAATGAAGTTGACGACAGCGTGACCACACCACAGATTAGTAGTGAATAAAATTAAATCTGTCGAAATGAGTTTGACAGCGATTTGTTATGTATTTTCCTCAGATTTTCACTAAAACGCTCTCACAAATCGCACCAATACAACTGGAGTGAAAATCTCAATTGATTTTTTTTTTTAAATATGTATCTTTAAACAAAAACCCCGTGGTGGTTTGCTTGATGAAATCTAGAGGATAAATGCCGATACCACAGTGATGAGAACTATGGAAAAACACTTAACGACTCAGTCTTTTTAATGAATTTGACAGATTTTTGATGCTTCAGTCTGGGAAACGTTTGAAAAAATAATGTACAGTTTTTGAAATTAATATGCTCTGAGAAATGGGAAGTTTGTTTATGGAGCCAGTTACTATGGAAATGGGTTTACTACGTGGTATAACATACAATGTAACCATGCTAACATAATTTCCATACAGCCTATCAACGGGTGTTTGCTTAGAGCACAACTCCGCAGCAGACGGTCAAATTTACCACCATTTGAAAGCTCTTTTAATTTAATTTTAGATGCATTTTACTTCATCTACATCTAACTGTATCAATTAAAGATATACGAGTCCAAAGTATGAGGAAAATTGAAGAACATTTCTTAATAACTCGTCATATTCAAATGATGATGCAGATGTAGCATGTTCTAGAAAGTTGTATTTTAGTTTGAAAAACAACTTTGTGGAACATAGTGAAAACCTAAAATAAAAGAAAATATATGTTTTAGTGAAACAAAGTGTTTTTGGGGTCCGTCCTCAAACAACCCTCTCTATCTCAATTTAAGTGAAATATACGACTTTTTTTGTCTTAAGTAAAGTTTTGTGTAACAATTTTTCCTTTAACTTTGCGTTAACCCCCTATCTCGACATAGTGAAAAAATAAATTTTCCATCTCACTTTTAGGGGGTTAATCACAAAATTCATATCTTCCAAAGATGAAACATGTCATACCCTTCAACTTTGCTCAAGGCGTCATTACTCTAAATCCACTCTCCACGGTTAATAGCACCGTGAAATTAAGACCGTCAAAATGAACTTTTAAACCACTGTGCAGGTTGTGGGTTGGTTTTGTTAAAATATTAATCACCACTACCCATTAGACTGATGCTAAATTTGAAATTTTCACTCCACAGTGCTCGAACGGTTCTAAATTGGGCCCTGGTTAGCCTCCGAAAGCTTAATTTCATTTGATAAGAAGCTGACTTGGCACAAACCATTTGAAGTTTATATGGAAATTACTATAGGAAAAGCAAACTTTTTGTTTATTGTCTTCTAGCCTTTTTACATATTGTACTGTTAACAAATTCAATTGCTATTCTTATGGGAATTTTTATCAGCTACAACTTTGCAGAAAATCGTTTTTCAGCCAGGCGTCAAACTAAATAGTTATTAATTATTTAAGAGATTGATAATCTTATGGCAAGATTAAGCAACTGTATTGAAGGCAACACTGTATTCTGCACTGTGACATAGTAGCCATGAATTTTGTCCTCTATTCTACGCGCCATAAACACCAATGTTGCCTGCTGCATAATTGATTGAGCATAATCATAAGACATCAGTGACTTGAATCCTTAATAATTTTTGATTCTTACATTTGACCGAAAAGTGGTCTTCAACAAAGTTGTAGCTGAGGAAATTTTCAACAAGCGCAGCTATTTTTTTTTTTAAATAGAGTGAACTGGTGAATTTTAAGATAAATATGAACCGAAATTATGGTTTCTCCATAGTAATTCCCGTATAAACTTCAAATGGTTTGTGCCAAGTCAGTTTCTCACTAAATTAGTTCAAATTTTGGGAGGCTAATCAGGGCACAATTTGGAACCGTTTGAGCACTGTGGAGTAACAATTTCAAATTTTGCATCAGTCTACTACCCATAGATGCTTGTTGCTGTTGATTTCCAGCATTAGACTTTTACTTTAAAAATTGGTTCAAAATTGAACGTGTAACAGGTATTTTAAGTGAGCCTTAAATAATTGATTTTTCAACATACAAATCTTCAGAATAAGCTGACATAGCAATCAATAATCACGAAATTTCGAGAAACCGTTATTCAATGTGCGGGAAACCCAGAAAAAATATAAAGTAACACAATTCAAAATACATTTTTTAGAACTTTTGTCCAGGCTCCGGCCGCTGTGCGACGTGATAACAAATAATAGCCTATTAAGTGATAAAAGTGTGACATTCCAGACGGATCGAACGAGGATTTGCCAAAGCAGGAAGGTGATGACGGACGCCGGCTCGTTGACTCAATCAGAATCCCATTATAGTGGCCGAATGTGTCGAATCGAAGATACTCCGGCTGATCGATCGGTTCGGTCTTGTCATTGTCTCTCGCATTATTCATCACATTTTATACAAATTTTGCCTAAGCACAGGTTTTCATAATTGATTCACTTTTTTTTTGTCTCCAGGACTGAATGCTTGATGATGGTGGGGATTCACATGCAGGGAAATTGCCCACTAAATCCAGCTGATGCTATTCTTGATCCAATCATCCTGTGGTTTATCCGCACTTGATGCTGTCTACTAACTTGGTTCCCATGGTAAATTCCAGTGCGAATAACCCATGGAGACTTGAGAGAATCGTTCACTATCCGTCGAAGGTACTATCGATGATATGTGCCCGCTGACAAGGTGTTATCAGGTGCGAGGAGTAGAAGTAATCGGTGTATCCACGTTTTGTTAGATCGAACTTAACTTACCATTTCAAATTAATGAGTAAATAGCAATATCCCAGGATTGGATTAAATAAAATTTATCGCGCACAAGGACATTGGTTCTGATTATAAAATTTAATTTGTCGAAAGACGAATTATCACAGAGATACGCAGACCTTTCTCAAGAGTGCAAAGTATCGAAAAATCTTATCATACCCACAAGTGCTCAACGGTTCATAAACTGAGCTTATCATTTGATGAATTGCTCCAGCCCTCCGGAGTGTGTTATTCTCGTTAGAGAATAAGCAATTATTTTAACCAGGTAAAATCGCTTCATTGGTTTCAGTCATCCGGTGGCAATTCTCGCGAGTGGAACCGGTCTGTTCAAGATAGAAAAAAAAATTGAGTGCGAATTGGTCCAAGATTTTTTCAAAACACAAAGTGAACCGAAGTGACCGGATTGGGATATGGTGATTGGTGGTTTGAGCTGAGTTAACAATTACGAGCACACAAACCATGCCGGAAGATTCGAAGCACGGAGGTTAGTAGTAGCGGTGAACGCCGTCGTCATCGTCGACTATAGAAGTGTGAACGTGTGAAATAGTGGGTATAACTGTTATTACCTATAGAGTGGCATTTAGAAAACGAGAGTAACTGAAGCTGACGTTTCAGTGAGGAAGAGAATTACTTAGTTGAGATGCTGCAAGCAGTCGGTGCATCTTTTGTGAGAGAACTGCGGAGAAGCATGTCATTTGACGTCAGCTAGTTTGAGAATGATTCATGGTTTGGATGTTTGAGTGATTGATTGCGATTGTCATAACTAGAGTGGATTATAGTCAACTGCACTATGGGAACTCTTGATGCTGCCAACCAGAAGGTATGCGAAGTGAAAACTATGTTACAGGTCGTAGAAATAGCTGATAGCTCATGGAAACTGCAAGAACTCTATAGGAACTCATGAAAGTTCTACTTTTGTAGCTCTCCGACCTTTGCAACTTTCAGAGCTTCAAAAAATAAACTTTGCAAATCTTGGTGTTCCATCAGTTCTGGAAGTTTAAATGTTTTATGTACGAGAATTCCAGGAGTTTCGGAGAGAATCAAGAGTGCCACTACATACTGAAAGACCGGTGCCGTGAGTTTCGAAAATTGCAGGAGTTCCATTAGTATTTGATCCGTAAGTTCCTGTAGTTTTTAAAGTGCCGGAAGTTCCATAAGTTCCAGAAATTCATAGATTACTTAGAATTTCTCGAGTCCCAGGAATGGCAGGAGCTCAAGGAGCTGCTACCCAACTAACACTAACTAATAATTTTAGCTACAGATAAGTTTATACAGGCAAAAAATGGCTTATACAGCCAATTTTTACCTGCATAAGCTAGTCTGCAACTGAAATTGTTTATTGGGTACTACGCTCAGCATAGGTGGATTCAAGAGGGTTGTACATTGCACCTCTTCAATATTCAACAGACATTTTAAAAATTACTTAAAGAAATTTTCCAATAGTTTTCCGTAAATAGTTAATAATTATCAATTTAAATTAATTTTTTAAATTATAACATTACTTTTTGCTCAACTATTTAACGAGTGAAACTGTCTTTAAATTCAGAAAACTTCCCTTTAGTTCTTTGTGTCGTATAACGGAAAATTGGCAATTGCATTTGCTCAGCAATTTATCCGTAGATTTTAAATCTATCGATACTGAATATTTTTTTTAGTATGTAGTTTCAAATGGCACCAATAGATTTGAATTGCGCCAATAAATCGTTGAGCTATGATTTTTCATACATATCAAGCTTGCCGTTACACATTTTACCGGAGGCATCGTGTTTGGAGTGTTAAACCATCTCAACATTCTGGACTTTCCTTAAGTTCTTGAAATTTCCTTGTAGTTTTCTGAACTGCCCTAAAGTTCTGTAAGCTTCCTGAAGCTCTTGGAATTTTTTTCCCATAATTTTCCTCAAGTTCTCTGGAGTATGGGAATGTTGTCTGTACTTCTTTTAAATTTTCTAGATATCCCTGAAAATCTCAGAACTTCTTGAATGTTTCTTCATCTTCTCTGCATTTATTTAAACTGCCTTGAATTTTGAGAAGTTCAGAAGTTCCTGAAGTATTACTTCTCAGAAATGCTCAGGATTCACTTTCAATTCTCGTAACTTCTATTAGGTTCCTACAATTTTCCTAAAGTTAATGAGACTGCTTTGAAGCTCTACAAGCTTCCCTGAAGATTTTAGAAGCTCACATAATTTTTCACAATTCTCCTGATAAAGTTCTTAAAACTGCCATGAAATTAATGGAATTGCGATAAAGAGCGCTGAAAATCTCTGGACCTCCGCGAACTTCTTGGATCTTAATATCCCTGGACTTCTTTAGGCTTCGCTGAAATTTTTGAAACTATTTGAAGGTTTCTACTATTTTCAAAAAAAAAAAAAAAAATGTAGCTGTCCTAAACTTTTAGAAATTTTTCATATATTTATATAACTTTTTGCTCTGAAGTTCGCTGAAATTATTCAAATTTTAAGTAACTTACCTTAAGATCAATGAATTGAATAGTCCATTCTATGCGCACGAGTATTGATGGTCCAAAAGTGAGGATAACAATAACAAACCAACATTTTTGGCTGGAGTGAAAGGGAGGATAACAAACCTCGCACTTGAAAATGTGATTACGCAAGTGTGCGAGTTATAAACGTCAGAAAGGTCAATTGAAGAATCAAAATGACGATTGACAGATGGAGAGTGTGGGAAAATGTTAATGACGTTTTAATATCTGTCAAATTGCATGAATTTTTTTTCCAGTGCATCATCAATTCTGTAATTGCGAATCTTGAAACTAGGTGTCGCATGACCAGTTTTGCCTTTGCTTTGATTCGACTTTGATGGCTTTCACACTCAGCATAAGCAGTCAATAATTTTACGCTCTGCACACAACCCACTCTGCTGAGTTTGATAGCTTCAGAATCAGTTGATTTTCTCTATCGCGTTCACCTATTTGATTGCAGGTACCTGATACAACTGATTGATTTCTAATTGTGACCTTATCTTTGACCGTTTTTAATTCGTAGTTCAGCTGATTGTGTACCTGCACCAAATGCAGGCACACTTTGTGAAGCATCCGCGCAACTGCCGGATCCGACAAAAGCCAAACAGCATCTGACAGTAGCTTGAAGCTAGGAGCTGAATGAAAGATGACACACAAGGAACAAGTATAAGTTTGTTTACTAAAATGAACTATGCCCAATTTGTTATGGCAAGTTTTGCTATAAGAAATGCTCCTCTTGTTAATTAGCAAAATTCACATCAAAGGTTGATTAATTGCGTAGGAAATCAGTTTGGCACGGCATTTGTGACCAGCATACACCTTCCGGTCGTATAAAACAGGTCAAAAACTGTTTTGATCCGCCCAAAAAAAATTTTGTTTTGATTTTCTGTATGGCAAAATAGTGAACTCTCCGTGAACATTGATGGCAATGAACTCACCAATACTGGGAGACCGTTAGTTCCTGCCCACCTGTCATTTTCCATCTTGAGCTTCAAGCAAGCATAAACCTGTTGGTAATTATCATAACAACCACATATCATTTGATTTGACAGTATGTGGACAACTAGAATCAACGTTTTTTTTTTAACTAGTTCGTTTATTTACTAGGCTCAGTCGTGTGTGACACTTTGCGGAGCCAAAATCAGTAATGTTTGATTTACATTTTAAATAGCAGTATTTCTAGGTTAGTATTGGGTACCAATTACTCGTGGCGGGCTCGAGGTTAATGGGTAACAATTTCAATTGGAAGGATCTAGGTAGGAAACTGGTTTCTGAAGCCTCCTTCAGATACTACTCTCGGACGGTTGACCAAATCCTGACTGGGCAGGGACAAGTAGCACAGGAACAGGAGGATAATAAGACTGGGACACAATGGCGGGAAATTTTTTGGAAAGGAGGGGATAGTCACATCAAACTCTTACATCAGACAAACAAAGGAATTCGTAGATCGCTTGCATGTAGGGAAGATCACGTGTTCCCAATACATCTCTTACTTCACGGAAGGGTTGTCTACCTCGGGCCACTAGGGTATCCAATAGTCGTGCTCTGGAGGCGTCATTACCCGGGCAATACCAAACTACGTGATCGATGTCATCATAACCGGTTCTGCACCTACATATATTGCTGTCAACGAGGTTTATTCTATAGAGATGTGCGTCTAGCGAGTAGTGGTTGGACATAAGTCTTGACATCACTCGAATGAATCCCCGACTTACATCCAGACCTCAACGTTGGAGCGATATTAGATAAATTCAAAGCTCTCATGCGAGTGCACCGATGAATTTGAGTTCACTCACTCGAGAAAAAGTGACACAAGCTGCGGGCAATGTTAACTAATCATGAACACTAAATGTTCATTATTCATTGTTCATGAACATTTAGTGTTCATGATTAGTAGACATTGCCCGCAGCTTGTGTCACTTTTTCTCGAGTGAGTGAACTCAAATCCATCGGTGCACTCGTCCGTGGTGCAGTTCCTGCCCAAATTGCGAAAAAAACAAACAAATGTTTGAGCTTCTAACAATTTGACGCAGACGTCATTTCTGTTAGATGAGCCGTTTTCGTGCTTTGATTTATTGAAAAATATCGAAGAGTCGAAATGGCCTAATTCCTGTCCAGCAGTTGGTGGGATTTTTCTGAGGCATATATCTCTTGTCACGTCTTCCTTCGGAAGGGAAGTAAAGCCACCACCGCTTTTCGTGTGGATGGATAAATTTGCTGGGAAGTTCATGATTTGGCAAGGTATTTGCACCTGTGGAGCGAAAACCAAGGTTTTTGTCACAAACAAGACGATGGACTCGAAGTTGTACAAGGAAGAATGGCTCAGGAAACCGAGGGGGACGACTCTATCTACGCTGCAGTAAAGATTGTGTTGTGCTGTGGCTAGCTGCTCGTACGCTGAGTAGATAGAAAGAAGATTGATGACGATTCTGAAGATTTCCTGCAAAAAGATGATGCGCGATGCATGTAGATGCGAGAAATGCAAGAAGATTTTTCGAAGATTGATTCGCTAGTGTGAGATTTTTTGATCATCTAAAATTGAGATTTAGATGTGTCGCCCCCCTCGCAGGAAACGCTTGCTGCCCTTTATTAACAGCACACAAAGAACCCGTGAAATTTTGGCCTGATTTGGTGAGTTGCCACTACAGCCGGGAGGTTGTTCAGTAGTACCAACCAGTGGAAACTAACGATTTTAAATTGGCTCACTAATTGACTAGCCTATGGGTCCCAAGCAAATCGATTAACGTACCCTATCCTAGTAGAAATTCTAGTACTACACTATGTGTGTTGTGATTCGCTATGAAAGTTTGACAGATAAAATGAGGAGTTCGTGGATTTTCATATGTTTCGAGGGGTGCATCGATTAGCATGGGACCGAAGAGATTACCAGAGCTGAACCAAAAAGTTGAGCACGTTTCTTCGGGGCCTTCTAGTCTTAGAGTTACCTCTATGGTAGTACCAACAATCAATACAAAACTAACGATTTTAAATTGGCTCGCTACTTGACTAGCCTATTGGTCCCAAGCAAACGATTAACGTTACCCATTCTAGTCGAAATTATAGTACTACGCAATGTTTGTTTTGATTCGCTATGAAAGTTTGACAGATAAAATTAGGGATAATTGGTTTTTCCTATGTTTCGAGGGGTGAATCGATTAGCTTGGGACCGAAGAGAGTACCAGAGCTGAGCCAAAAAATTGAGCACGTTATTTCGGGACCTTCTAGTCTTAGAGTCACCTCTATGGTAGTACCATAGAGGTGACTCTAAGACCAGAAGGTCCCGAAGATACGTGCTCAACTTTTTGGCTCAGGTCTGGTACTATCTTCGTTCCCAAGGTAATCGATGCACCCCTCGAAATTTCCAAAAATCCAAGAACCCCTCATTTCATCTGTCAAACTTTCATAGCAAATCAAAACAAACATAGTGTAGTACTAGAATTTCGACTAGAATGGGATACGTTAATCGTTTGCTTGGGACCAATAGGCTAGTCAAGTAGTGTGCCAATTTAAAATCGTTAGTTTCGTATTGATTGATGGTAGTACCATAGAGGTAACTCTAAGACCACTGGGTCCCGAAGAAAATCATTATTATTTTTGGCTCACTCAGTACCAGAACAACGGTCCCAAGCAGTCCCAAGCTATTTCACTCACCCCTGCATGTTCTGCATGAATCCACACACCCCTGATGTTATCTGTCAAACTTTCATAGCGAATCAAAACAAACATAGTGTAGTAATAGAATTTCAACTAGAATAGGGTACGTTAATCGTTTGCTTGGGACCAATAGGCTACTAAAGTGGTGAGCCAATTTAAAATCGTTAGTTTCGTATTGATTGTTGGTAGTACCATAGAGGTAACTCTAAGACCAGAAGGTCCCGAAGATACGTGCTCAACTTTTTGGCTCAGCTCTGGTACTATCTTCGGTCCCAAGCTAATCGATGCACCCCTCGAAACATAGGAAAATCCAAGAACCCCTCATTTTATCTGTCAAACTTTCATAGCAAATCAAAACAAACATAGTGTAGTACTAGAATTTCGACTAGAATGGGATACGTTAATCGTTTGCTTGGGACCAATAGGCTAGTCAAGTAGTGAGCCAATGTAAAATCGTTAGTTTCGTATTGATTGTTGGCAGTACCGTGTCAATGGGGTGGATTTCATCGACTAGGACCAAAATCAACCCAATTGCCGCCAATTCTGCCCAATAGAAAATATTGGGAAATTATGAAGCGGAAGCTTAAGACGGCTGGTAAAACGGCTCGGGACAATGCAGAAATGACCATATTTTAGGACAAATTTGCCAAAGAGGTTGATACTACAGGTGTGCAACGTTTGATAGCGGGTATCAGAAGGAAAGTGCGCAGTTACATCACAAATGAAGAGACATAATTTGAATCAGTGCTAATAGAAATCATTTCTTCTACACTCAAAAAGTACCTATTTAAAATATTGCAAACATATGATATTACATCACACCCAAACCTGACCTGCTATGAATAGGTAGTCCAAAGATCAACTCGCCATCTCAATGCCATCAGCTGTCTAAGATTGACATCCCATCGCTCATGGCTGCGACTGCAGCGAGTTAAATTTTCATTTTTTTTCACGATCCCCTGCTATCGACAGCGCGATAACGATAATATTGCAAATGTGATTCTTCGCTTTATCAAAAACCCATTCAACTGTGAATGACTTTATAGATACCCACGCGTCTCTCGAACGTCATCATGTGTGGGTACGACACGAACATTGACGCTTCTCTCTTGATTGTGATTTGTGAGTCCAGGCTTGCTTTGCACTTCGCTATAAAAACTGTTTTTCGGAATTATGAAACTATTATCTGTTATAATAATGTTTTGAAATTGTATACCATGGACCCCCGGTAATCTGACCGTTTTTAATCTGAATGAATTTTAGTTTGAAACCCGCTAATCTACACGCCGTGCAATCTAAAAATTGCTCAAACGTCATTTAGCACATGGAATGGAGTAAAGTGAAATGGAACGATCCGAAACGGAAGGCTTACTCAAAATAAAACAGCAAATAAGGTTAGCAGAAACTCACTTCTCTGATGGTCATAGGGTTACTAGATGTTCAATATAAAAATGAACAATCAGCGATTTTATGATTCGTGAGCGCTCATTAAGAGTAAGCACTCACGAATCATAAAATCGCTGATTGTTCAATCATAAAATCGGTGATTGCTCAATCATAAAATCGCTGATTGTGACGATCTGATAACTAAATTGACAGGTTTAAAGTGTCAAACACATTCTTTTCAGCTTCTTCTTGTAATATACCTGAACGCACATGAGCAGAACTTCTTCCTACGTTGTGTATATCAGATGGATAGAAATGATAAAACACGATCGAATTACTGACCATCCTCTCATGGTGGAAGTAGAAGCATAGAGGTAACTCTAAGACTAGTAGGTCCCGAAGAAACATGCTCAACTTTTTGGCTCAGCTCTGGTACTATATTCGGTCCCAAGCTAATCGATTCACCCCTCGAAACATGGGAAAATCCACGAACCCCTCATTTTGACAGATAAAAACTTTCATAGAGAATCAAAACAAACATAGTGTAGTAGTAGAATTCCGACTAGAATGGAATACGTTAATTGTTTGCTTGGGACCAATAAGCTAGTCAAGCAGTGAGCCAATTTCAAATCGATAGTTTCGTATTGATTGTTTTTAGAAGTACTATTATTTATTAATATTGTATATGATACAATACAACACACAGGTGGTAGGGTAGGACTACATATAGTGGACGTTTGTATAAACAATACCAGAACAAAATACTAATACCAACCGGTGGAAACTAACGATTTTAAATTGGCTCACTACTTGACTAGCCTATTGGTCCCAAGCAAATCGATGAACGTACCCCATTCTAGTCGAAATTCTAGTACTACACTATGTTTATTTTGATTCGCTATATATCAAAGTTCGACAGATAAAATGAGAGGTTCGTGAATTTTCCTATGTTTCGAGGGGTGCATCGATTAGCTTGGGACCGAAGAGAGTGCCAGAGCTAAGCCAAAAAGTTGAGTACGTTTCTTCGAAACCTTCTAGTCTTAGAGTTACCTCTATGCTAATACTAATACTAAACAGTTTTTATAGCGAAGTGGGAGGATAATCTGTGCTTGTAGGAATTGGACTGAGCACTAAATAATAAGAGCATAATTAAGAACGCAACGACAAACGGCGATTTACGACTTGTTTCGTTGTTGAACAGTAGTATGAAGTCACACTTCTCTCACACCTCTTACATTTTTTTATTGCTTGACAGAATTAGATTAGATAACAGACTCTCTTCGTAAATCTGGAATGTCAGTACTAGACGGTACTAGCAGTAGATATACTGGAAATGTTATCTAAAAATGTCACGGTAATTGATCGATGGGAAATTACCAATTGAGACTGGTATTAGTCAACAATAACAATATAAAAATGATAACGCAGCGGATCACTAATCACAATCGATTGCCAGCCATAGGAAACAATTAAACCGTTATCGCGATTTGACCAATACCGAGCTAAGTCGTAAATTTCCTTTCCCCGACTGATGATAAGCAAAAGGGCAAGATCGGTGGCGGAGGTTCGCTTGCTTTAGATACTTTGTTTCAACCGACCGATCTAGTACTACAATACCTGCGATGAGTAGCAACGACAAAGCCTATGCTTATCAAGTTCAAACAGTAGTGCTTGACAAAGTTCATTCCGAACAACAAAAGAAGAAAGTGAACGCGAACAAACGACATTACAGCAACCGTGCCGCATGAGTAGAGGGGGCTCGGTGCGCAAGTTGTATGCGACGACAACGCCCCGGACTCACTCACATGTAATCAGTCAATCAATCAATCAAAACCGGGTCCCCAAATATGAAATCTCATGTCAACCCGCCGAGGGTAGATGGGCGGTCACTGCCAATAGGAACGAGTATAGCCACTTCAGCTAATTATGCAACGTTTACCGAGAGAAGTAATGCAACAACCAAGAGATATCACATATTTATCAGTGTTGTTTTGTACCTTCATAATATCAATATCTGCGGGATCCAATCACTAATCCGGTGTTTTGTTATCGCTTTTATTTTTCAGAGGTCGCGTCCACCAACGGCGACGACAAGGACGTGGAAGGCGTAGAGGCCAAGGTACGTAATTAATCCACACGGAGCTGAGAAATTTGTGTTTACACATGGAGCTGTAACTTTCCCCATTTCATTTGCAGAAACTGAAGTACCCCCGATCGATTCCGTTCATTATCAGCAATGAGTTCTGCGAGCGATTCAACTACTATGGCATGCGAAGTAAGTGGTTTAACCCTCTATGCTTGTTGTGGATTAGGTGTCAAGAAGATTCGTTTCTCCCGTAGCAATTCTGGTACTGTACCTGACACGTAAGCTGGACTACGACGATGACACGGCAACGGTTTTATACCACTCGTTCACAACCCTGGTGTACTTTATGTGCGTTATCGGAGCCATCATCTCGGACAGTTGGCTGGGAAAATTCAAGACCATCTTGTACCTCTCGATCGTGTACGTCTTTGGAAGTACACTTATCGCAGTTGGTGCTATTCCAACTTTGGACATCAATGCCCGAGCAATGACCATAGTGGGATTGCTGTTGATCGCCTTCGGCTCCGGCGGTATCAAACCGTGTGTCGCGGCCTTTGGAGGTGAACAGTTCAAGGTACCCGAACAGGCCAAGTATCTGGCCTTGTTCTTCTCGATGTTCTACTTTGCCGTAAACTCCGGATCGTTCGTTTCTACGATGATAACACCAATTCTGCGAGAGGACGTCAAGTGTTTCGATTCGGACGACTGTTTCTCGCTTGCATTCGGAGTCCCTGGAATTCTGATGATAATCTCGATCATCATTTTCCTGTTCGGAAAGCCACTGTACAAGATCACCGCTCCAGCCGGCAATATGTTCATGAAGGTTTCCAAGTGTATATGGGTATGTTTGAAATTAAATTTATCACCAGAAATTATCATCCTGAATTGCATACTTCTTACAGACCGCAATCCGTACCCGTTCCAAGGAGAAGACCGTCAATCCTCGGGAGCACTGGTTGGACTACTCGGAGAAACGCTGGGGGCAACAATTGGTCGACGAAACCAAGATCCTACTGAACGTACTCCGCCTCTACATACCTCTGCCGGTTTTCTGGGCTCTATTCGATCAGCAAGGTTCCCGTTGGACTTTCCAAGCCACCCGTATGGACGGCGACCTTGGTTTCTGGACCATCAAACCCGATCAGATGCAGGTCATTAACCCTCTTCTGATTCTGATCTTCATCCCGCTATACGAAGTGATATTCTACCCTCTGCTGTCGATGATTGGAATTCGTCGCCCACTGCAGAAACTGACACTCGGTGGTATCCTTGCCGGCGTTGCGTTCGTAATTTCCACGTTCGTGGAGATTGAACTCGAAGGCACCTACGCTGTACTGCCCAAGGCGGGCGAGTCTCAACTGCGAATCTTCAACGGAATGCACTGTGATTACAACATTCAAACCGACATTCCAAATCATGCCAACTTTGTGCTTAAGTCGATGGAGTTGTTCGAAGAGAAATACATAGCCGTCAACGGGGAAAAGTCGTTCGCATATACCTTCTCTTCGGATGATCCCGGCTGCACTGGGTTCTCCGAACGATTCCACCTGGAAGAATACAAGCAGATTTCCTACTTCGTCAATAACCGCGCCGGTCCACCGAGTTTGCTTCGCTACGAAGACAACACCGATAAGTCCTCCAAGGGATTCCCAATGTTCCGAGTTCTTGGAAACACCGCTCAGAATCGTCCGTTCGTCTTCAAAGATCTGGACGCCTCGCCACCGTTCGACCGACACAGCAACGATACCTACTTCAATGATATTATCGAATCCTTCCCATCTCTGTATGAAATCAGCGTCGATGGGAAGCCTTTGATGAAGTACCCTATGCGGCTTGGAGGTGTCTACACTTTCATTTTCTCAGACAACGGAAACGAAATTGTAAATTCTTGAAAATCCTTTAACATTAAAAAAAACCCAATCAAATCAATCATATTTCCCTCAACATTCCAGAAAGCTGAGGCGATCACTGTAACTGCACCCAACTCGGTGAGCATGCTCTGGTTGATTCCACAGTATGTCGTTATGACGCTGGGTGAAGTCATGTACTCCATCACCGGTCTGGAGTTTTCCTTCACCCAAGCCCCGGAGAGTATGAAGTCCGTACTGCAAGGCTGCTGGCAGCTGACCGTGGCCGTCGGTAACCTGATCGTGGTCATCGTTGCCGAGGCCAAGATCTTCGAGGCACAAAAGTGGGAGTTCGTCCTGTTTGCCTGTTTAATGTTTGTCGATATGGGCCTTTTCTCCGTTCTGGCGTACTACTACAAACCGATCCCGCTCAAGACGTACGACGAAGACGACGCGAACACCACGCTGCCCGTCGAGGACCGGAAGGAAGAACGAGGCCTGGAGAATCCCACATTCACCAAGGGTGAATGATCGTGAATTCTTTCATTTTTTCGTAAGTGTGTGTGTTTTAGACTGTTGTACAGTCGAATATGTTGGTTTAAGAATTTTAGCGAAATACATTCAAATTGATGTAGAATAATTAAATCCACGGTGATCAGATGACTCATTGCCAAGCAGAGCTGATGTAGGAAGAACGTTCCTTATTTATTTCTCTTATGAAACGGTTCCATGTTATGAAACATATGTATGTTATGAGCGTGGTGCGTCACCTCAGACAGCTTAATAGTTTGTGTCTTGTCTTGTGAGCGTGGTTTCCTGTATATCGGAGCATTTGTTTTGATCAAATCAGACGCTGGATTGGGCCTGTCTTTGCTCCCCGCATGGTGGTTGGATCAGGAGGAGGTAGCAGAATAGTCGGAAAATGAATTCATCACCTTCTTTACGAGTTGGATATTTATATTCTAGGAGTTGTTTTGAGATGGTGCTTCTTGTGAATGGGTGTTTTATTCAAATTGGTTGAAAGATAACAAAGCGCTTTTTTGCGTCATGTCAACGATAATTGGTGGAACGATCAAAAAGTAATCAACTCAAAATTAGTGCATTTCTGTTTAGCATGCATTAAATTTTTTTTTAAAAAACTTTGATTTTCAAAGGTGTGTGTCTATGAAATCTGTTGCCATTTTCGGTTTTGGAATTTAGCATTCAATTTTTAAGTTGGCTACCAAACAAGAGAACCAGCATTTTAAAATTCTGCACGCGCATTCGTTAATTTCAAATCTTTCTTTGTGAAGGCTGATTTTATACTGCAACTGGAAGAGAATAGTTCAGTACGACTTAAGTAAAAATAAGTTGTCGACATGTTTAAGAAAACTATTCGGTCGAGCAGGTTATTTGCACTGGTGAGCTGAAGAGCAATCATATTTGTGACAGCTGGCATCAACATCCAGAATATTTACGTGAGCGAGTGTTTGAACAAATGTGTATTACCAAGTGGCGATGCCCAAACCTCAATCTACCCGTTCAACAACTCTCAAAACGAAAAAAAAAAATACAAAAATATTCTTTCCAATGGATGCAAATCAGTGGAACTAGAATAACTTGCACCTTTTATAACTGATTTCAATGTAAACATGACCCTAAATAACGTTGTTAAAGCTCATGAACAGGCAAAAAGTGAGGATACGCGTCACCACTAGTATTAGAAACCACTGATTTCCTAAGCTGTTCTGGCCTGATCTCGCGCCTTGTTATTGCGGTAAAGTTACGTGACAATTGTATGAACGTTGCAGTTGTAGCTAACAACTAGAGCCCACTAAATTCATTATACTTAGGCCATTTTAAAAACATTGAACAATAATCAAGAGAAATTCTCAAGAAGGGTCTAGAATAAGTTGATAATACGAAATAGAAACAAATTAAAATTGGGCGTACATTGCAAATTACTTAATTTAACAATACAATAAGGTTGTGCACAACTTAATGGAAGAGGTCAAACGCAAATTTCGTGAATTTGTATTTGGCAAAGCATTGAGTGAACACAACAACATAAGAGTTTCAGGTGCGAGTTAAGTGCCAGAATGACATTAAACTGATGATTAATTTATTAACATTATTTTTCTACACTTAATTTTGTGTGACTACTTTTTGCTCGATCCACCCTTTAACATACAAGGTGTCAGGAAACTATCCTAATGTAAATGTATTGTTATGTGATTCATCAACAAAGAACTCGAATACGAATATACATTTATGCTTTTATGGAATTATTAATTGTTGAAAATTATACCCCTTTCTCAAGGTGTGGAAAGGGGATAAGTTATTTTCTGATTCTCAATATTTCTTCACGCATTTGATTTTAAATTGTAGCCAAGCTCAAGGTATCATTGTTTTCTACGTTTGATTTAAAAAAACGAAAATGTGAATTGCCCAAGACAGTGGTTCTAAAATTGTTGCTAATTGAGATCCACTTTGAGAAATTCACCTAGATTCGACAACGAATACGCTCTAAATAGCTTTAAGAGCGACAAACTGTTTAATAAAACATTTAAAAAAAAGGCTTCAGATTCGCCCAAATGACCTAGTATCAACAAATAGGGCCTAACTATCCCAAGTAACACACAAGTCAAGAGCCACATGTGAAAAGGGCATACAAGCTTTTTGTAAACAAACCTTTGTAGGCCCTTTTCTCGCCAACCGAGGGTCGCCCACGCAAACCAGCAATATCATCGGGAAGGGGAAAGTGTCCCCTACCCGGTGATGTTAAAGGTTTACGTTGGTGTCATATGGGTGGCGAGAAAAGGGCATAAGAAGGTTTGTTTACAAAAAGCTTGTATGCCCTTTTCACATGTTGTTCTGGAAGTGACCAGTTCCAGGCCAAATAGGATATGAAAACAAATATGTTGATGCGACTTTCTTAGATTTGCATGTCACTTTTCATTCATAACACACAGGGTTGCTTCCACTCACTTGCTATAAAAAAATGATTTTCTGAATATTGAAATCATTCGATGTTATAATGATATTTTGTACTTGTTAGATACAAAAAGCAGATGAAAGACAAGTTTTTGACTCTTAAAACCTGTCAATTTTGCTACCAGAGTGTTACAATAAGCGATTTTATGATTCGTGAGCGTTCACTCAGAGTGAGCGCTCGCGAGTCGTAAAATCGCTGATTGAGACTATCTGAAAGCGAATTTGACAGTTTTAATGTGTTAAACACTTGCCTTTCAGCCTCTTCATGTATCTAACAAGTACAAAATATGACTATAACATCTAATAATTCCAAAATTCAGAAATTCATGTTTTTATAGCAAGTGAGTGGAAGCAAGCCTAACACATTCATATTTTTGCAAAAAAAATCGGCTGAATTATGCAAATTATAGCACGAAAACATCACTTCTGATCGACAAAGTTGTTACGAAAGTAAAATATATGCCGCATGTGAAATTATGATTTTGAACACAAGCACCTCAGAGCGTTAGCAAAGCAACTTTGTGTATGCATCTCACAACGCTCGACAAAGAGTGTGTAGTTCTCCCATTTACTTCGCACACTCTTTTCCAACCTATCTGCGAGAAAGCGATCCACACAATGAGCGGTACACTCCGTGCGGCGCAGGGAGCGAATATAATAAAACAAGCGCTAATGTCTTCTTTGAATTCTTTGCAGACTTTTCTTACCACGACTGCATGCATAGAAGATGAAGAAGAATTTTGTCTTTTGGCTGGGTTTCCCATTTGCAACCCTACACTGAGTGGCGCTTTTTGCGTTGGAGCCGTAGGAGCGATGGCTACACATTGAGCTTTCGTTATTTCTGGGTGTGTGTCTGTCTTCTCTTTTCCGCTGCTTTACACTTGCGCAGGGGGAAAGACAAGCAAACTTTGTGTTTGCTTGATTCTCGCTTGGTTTATTTCAGAAAATCAGTACATTGTGCACATTGAGTGTTTAGATGACAGCCCTGTTAACAAGTCAATTATGCGTTTGGTACGATACTTTAGTTAATAAGCTAACGAACGAAGTCAATGAGAACGCGTGATTTGAAGGTTTGCATGCATTATTCCCAAGTAAGAAAAGAAGCGCTTCGACCGAATCAATTTTTATCTTCATCCGATAGGCCGAAGTGAATTCATTGGCGTTTCAATGCGTTAGGCCGAGTTTAGAATCCGTAGGCCGAGTTTGGCGTCAAGAACCAGTGTTAGACTGTTGACAATATCTCAACGATTGGGTTCTCTTTATCAAATCTTATGGTATGTACGGAAAGGTAAATAAATTTGGAAGCCATCAGTAATAATAACATTCCGTTTGGTGCTAAACTGCGCTAGATTAAGAAATAGTAAGTGCGGGTTGTGCTTAATAGGCCAGAAATGGGGTAGTTAACCTAATCCCGACCAACCATTTCGTTAAATTTCTTTAATTTTGTAAAGATACTAAAAGTCTGATCGTGAATCATTTATAAACATCTTTATCAAAATGTTGCTTCTAATCGTTACCTATGTAAAAATATCGATTCGTGTTGCCAGATCAAAATATCGATTTCACTTGTCAGATCAAAATAACAATACACGGTACTGATATTTGTTAGATTTTTTTTTATCTGCATAATTGCTAGGTTTCGATCCCGTGCCATCTAGGGTGTACTGATTTCCTTGTTGGTAGCTAATCCTTGGGTCTACAGCTGCTGTTGATGAGCTTCTTAACGACTGGCAATCAATCTCTAGTATATGGTGTTTTGAAATTTATGTACATCGTTTCAAGCATGAATTCAAAATTTGGTTTAAAATGGCAACTGGTGTTTCTGGCGCGTAGAATAGAGCCCAACAATCATGGCTACTAGGGGAAATGGATGTAATGACGGCCTAAATGCCCCTAATTTGGGCCCATACATAAATTCAGCAATCGACTACATTTTCAATAATTGGAGGCGAACCAGCCTCAGGCTGAAAGCCTCCTAAATAAAGATAAATCAATCAATCAATAACCACCAAAAATATCTATAAGTACCGTCCGAATAACGCGTTCATCTAGATACAATTGACAAATAACAGATTTTTTGCGGTGGGCCCAATCTAAGATCCATGGATTTCCCCTATGTCACTAATCTTATGCAAGGAATCAAAAATATCTCCAAATGACAAAATGACAAGCGATCAACGAACCGAATGATAACGCTATGTCAGAAGTGGAAAGCAATAATGAAATAATCTACTTCCTTCTTTTTCATGACAAGCAGCCCTTGTGACACAACTCACTCGGGGCGGTAGAAGGAAACGAGCAAATTGTCGGCAAGCTGCTTCACGAAGTAAAGCCGAAGATGATACACGTGTGTAAATGGGATTTTTTTTGTTATGTCTTTTCTCGATTCAGATCAAGCCATGTCCTCATCCGAGTATATTGCAACAAAGCAGGCAAGCAATATATTATTATCTTTCTACCACTCGGATTGAGCTATGTTAAAGAGCGAGTTTGTCATGGAAGTCGTAGTAACCATTTTGTCTGTATCGTTGGTTGCATTATGTGTTTGGATTCGCTGATCTTATGGCATGATCAAGCAGCTCTTTTGTAGGCAACACTGCACAATGGGCCAGGAATTAAATCTAGCAGG